AGTAGGCAGGGCTGTGAGAACTAAGGACACTCATGGTCAGTGTCCAGGAGAGCCCTGCTGTCCATCCAGCCTCTCACAGCACACGGCTCTGTCCACCTAGATTACGAAGCATCTGTGACACTAAAAACGCCACCAGGCTCCACGTGCTGTCGGCCCCAGGGCCCTAGCAGAACACCGTCACGGAACGCTGTCACGTGTGGCCCCTAGAGGGGTGTCAACACGCAGAGTGGCGCTGCGCTGTGCTGTTGCTTTGGGCACTATCTCCTTCTAGATGATGGTCTACAGGTGAGGTCCAAAGGGATTCCCAAGGAAGTGTGTTGTGTGCCCCCCCCACACACACCTCTAAAACTGCTCAAAGTAAGGTGCAGTAAAACCCAAGCGTTTTCAGAGCGTCAGCGGGGTGTTTCTATCATCAGCAAGTGTTACACTAGGTTGGTGAGTGCCTTTACCCTGCACCTTGCAGTTTCTCTTTCCCCTCCCTTCCATCCTCTTCTCTGCCTCTCACATTGCTGGGCCTGAAACTTAAGACCGTGCACATACTAGGCAAGCACTCTACCACACAGACTTGATGAGTAACTTAAGAAATGCCTGATTATTAAAAACTGTAATTTTCCTACAAAATTAAAAAACATATAAATTACATAGTGACTTCAGGGTAAAATTCCTGACCCAATCACGTTCAAAGAGTAGGGTCACCATGCAGCAAGAGTCGGGCTGGGCTGCAAGGAGTGAGTTTCTGCAAGTTGGCTGAGGCACCAGTCTAGGACGGAGGAGGAGAAGGTGGAGGGGCTTAGCGTTTGTTTTTTAAATAACAACAGTTGGGAGTGAGTAACAATGAGCAGACAATCCACAGGTATCACCTGAGGCCATAGTGCTAACTCCTGAGGTCTGCAATCAGCAGCCCCTGCATGCCCCCCGGGCAGTTAGGATAGAGGAGTTAGGTAACTCACCCAAAGTAATTAAGCAGCTGGTGGCCAGCCAGGGTTTTCTTGTGGCTGGCTGGCTGGCAGTAGGAGTGAAGGAACCAATTACAACCACTAGATAACGTAAGAATACAAACCACCAGAGCCTGCCCTACAGCATTCAAGGTGATCCACCTTGGCAGGTGTCAGCCCTGCAGAGGGCACCTGTATAGAGGGTCTGTCCTGTGGGCGGGGCTTCCTGTAGGAGGGGTCTGCTTTGTGGGTGGAGTTTCCCTGTGGGTGGGGTCTGTTCTGTGGGCGGGGCTTTCCTGTGGGTGGGGCTTTCCCATGGGTGGGGTCTGCTCTGTGGGTGGAGCTTCCCTGTGGGTGGGGTCTGCTCTGTGGATAGGCCTGGTAAGCCAGTAGGAGCCTGGGAGGCTCAGCAGACTTGACTCAATCTGAGAGGATGCACTCTGTTGTCTCGCAGAGCGGGAGGCAGAGCGGGAGGCAGAGCGGCAGGCAGGGGGACAAGCTGGCCTGTGGCTCCCCTTCATGCGGAGGCCCCGAAGTTGAAGCAAAGTGCTGGACCAGGGAGAGAGAATTTTCCCTTTATACGCTGTCAGATTGTCCAGTCCTTGCTAGAACTATCAAGTACTAAATACCTAAATGAATATGACTGGATTCTGCCTCTCACATTGAAGGCATGGCCCGCAGCACCTCAGAACGAGACTCTCCTTGGAGCTGGGGTTTCAGAGACACAATTCAGTGAACGAAGGCCCAGTCCAGCTCATCAGTACAGCAAAAGTGGAAACCAAGTACCAAACCGACAGACTGACAAAGAGCTGGCAGGTGAGTGAGAGGGGCCCTTCCCAGATGCACGGCTCTGAGAGGAGAATGAGAGGCAGGAGGGGCTGCTGAGTGTCTGCAGCAGGACAGAGCAGCTGGGACAGAATTTCAGGTGGGTTTCCTGAGTGTCACCACCCTTCCCAGGAGCCAGCCCAGCCCAGGGCTTCCCCAAGGCCAGTGTCTCCAGCACAGGGGGCTGGGGTAGCATAGGATCTAATTACTTCTTTAAATGACAGAGCTGCTGCTAAGGCCTGCGGTGTGCCAGCCTGGAGACTGAGCACAGGAAAGGGGGGCCTTTCCCGTGAGTGTGGGCCCCAGGGTGGCCGCTGCCCTCCTATCTGCTGTACTGGGAACAGGAAATGCTTCTTTCTCCCTCCTATAACCTGTTCTCCTAAAACCCTTGCTAAAACTTTCACCTTGCAAGACTCTGCTTTTTGTGAGACACCTTGAAATGCTTTTCACACGTGGACCTCAAGGACCTGTGATTTTTCACAGGAACTGGGAGCTGGGGAAGCTGAGGGACACCTTCACTGCCCGCCCCCCAACACTGGGCCAAACTGGATTTCAGGGCAGCCACGTGGCCCTGTGGGCGAAGAAAGGAGCGGCCTCTCCCTCAGCCTCCCAGGGACCTGGACAAACTCCCCTTGGTGAGAAGCATCCCCAAGCCCAGCTGCAGACACAGCCAGCAGCAGCTCGGAGCACAGGTGACTTTCTGCTCTGGTTCAGGCTTACACATTCATGCTTCATGGAGGGTCACAGAACATTGATTCTCAATGGCACCAACTAGTTTCTGTAGGTTTTTAAAGAAACAGCTGTTGATATGTAAAAACTACCCACAGGAACTATGGCTTTTAGGGTTTCAGGTTTTGATTTGTTTTTCAATCATCAGAACTTTACAAATTAAGTTTTAGGAAACAATGACATAGGACTAGGCTTCATTATTGCGCAACAATCTCACTCTGTTAGAATTAAGCTCAGAGTTTGCTGTGGTATTTTACAGTGTTAAACAACAGGAAATGAGACTGTGAGCCACAGAGTTTTTAGAAACTAGAGTTGCAAACCAGTTATTCTGAAACCCAAAATACCACAGCCCGCTCTTCTCCCCCGCAGCCATCTTCCTGCTTTATCTTTGGCGAGGCTAGACCCTCATCGGGCAGATTCCTTTCACAGGGCTCTGTAGAGCCCAATGCAATTGCTAATTAAAACGAATGATCAGTGGCACAGTTCACATGTGATTTAACGTGATGAGTCACCCTCCTTCAATCTCTACAAAGCCATTTAGACATTTATACATTGGTAGTTAAGAAGGTAGGTAATGCTGTTCATAACTTTAAATAAGGAGGGATCTGGGCAGAACACTTGCATTACTGAGATGATCTGAACACACGCGTTGGACAATCATGTACCACTGACACGGAATGTGAGCGCAGACACAAATCAAGTCAAAGACGGGTTACTGCCCAATCCACTGTTAATTCACGAGTCAAGGCCAAAATCCAGGTCAGTGCCTTTGTGCAGGGGTGTGGGAGCACTGTCTTTTGAGTGACAGAGCGGAAGTCCGCTGTGTCCTAATAAACGAGGCCTTTCCCTCCCCACCACCCAAACCAGGCTGGTGCAATGTGGGACACATTTCCTCACATCCTCGTCTTCTGAAATGATGCTCAAGAGCTGAAGAAAGCACAGAAAGCGAGTCCCCCCACCCGCCCCTGTATGCGTGGCCCAGGGAAGTGAGCGTGGGACGCGACTCGGGCAGGAACAGCAAGAGCCACAGGGCGCAGGCGTGGTGGGGCCCACAGGAAATGCTCAGAGAGAAGCTCATGGGCTGTGTCTGGCACTGTGCTCAAAGCACAGAGAGACTCTACGAGTTCAGGGCTGTGATGCGCTTTCACTTGCACGCAACCCCCCTTTGCTTCTATGTACTTAAGGTTTGGTGACTAGTTGAGGAAGGATACGAAGGCTGTGGAGGAAGACGGAACTGAAGGTCAGTCACCACACGGCCATCAGACTGCGTGGTCAGGAGCCACGGAGCTCCCACGGAGCTCTGTGGGCAGAAGGGACAAGCCCAGACCTGAGGGGTGTCCTGGCTGCACAGACAGGACACAGGCAGAGAGCGGAGCCTGCACCTCAGCATGGAGCCACCAGGGCTGAGTGCAGCCAGGGAGAGGAGCCTGGAGAATTCCTCGGGACAGCGCGTCCCGGCTCATTCCCGCTCCAGCTGGCGGGCCTGGAGGCAGGTGCGGGAGGGGCTGAGGCAGCCCATGGGGAGTGTGTCCTCCTGGTGCATCGTGGGGTGAGAACAGGGGAGGGAGGAAAGTGGAGGAAGGCATCTGTGTCAGCACCGAGGGGAGGCTGGCACTCTGAGGACCAAAGTCCCTACTACGCACCTCCCGTTGGTTTCCTGTAGAAACAAAGCTGCCCACACCAGCAGTGACCCTGCCCGCCACCTCTGCTCACACGCAGAGTGGGCCCAGAAACAATGATGCGCCACTTTAACCTTCACACTCCAGCTCATGACCCTGAGCCTGGCCTCACCCTCGGGGACGTGTCTGCCATCATTGCTTCTTGAATTGTGACTTTAGGAATGTGCCAACCCCACCAAGGCTTTCCTGACTGATCCAAAGCTCACTTTGTGGGAGGAGGGCACTGGTCTGGGATGACTAAGTGCTCTCCGGACCTGCGGCATGCAGCAACCCACCTCCATTCCTCTGTCTTTGGGCTGTGCATTCTGACTCTGCTCCCTCCGCAGCGTCTGTTACCTCACCAGTGGGAACTCTGACCAGGTCCACTGATCACGCACGGGTCTAAGTTCCCACGCTCTTCAATACAGCAACTTAATTAGGGGGCGATTTGTGAGTACAACTTTAAAAAAAACTGGAAATGCTGGAAAGTCAAAAGTACTTCTGAGTAAGAATAAAGAACTTGTATAATCTCTCTTCTCCCTCTGCACGCCCCTGATTCAAGGATGAGTCGCATCTGACACGGATGGGGTCGGCCTCCTCTCTTTCCCACGTCTCTCCCAGGCCAGGACATGCCTCCGGACGAGCCATGTTCCCGATCACTAATAGTAACAACGATCACAGACCGGCCCAGCCTCCTCTCCAATCACTAATACTAACAATGGCTCACAGACCGGCCCAGCCTCCTCTCTGCGCTGCAGGTGGTTCTGTGCCAGCTCAGAGCTCCTGGGTCCTTGGGCCCAGGAGACCTTGTTTCACAACCCACTCCACACTGCAGGCTCAGTGCTTGTCTTACCTTACCAACCTTCTCGGCCGCCACCTCTCGCTTTCCCGCATGGTTGCCCATCCTGAGCTGCGTGCAGGCTCTTCAGAAGCTGAAATGAGAAGAGAAACTTTGAAGCAAGAGGCTAGTACTTGCACGGTTTTGTGTGTGCTGTTTCTATCATCAGAACAATCATCCTGTATAACATACACTGCGCATTTTGGAGAAGAGACAAACAACCATAACCATGAAAACTCAAGAAACACCTTGAAGTCACCCCCTTGTGACTGCGAATTTGGAGCTCCTGGGAAGATCTAGAAACAGAGACAAACTCAGTGACAGGCACACACACACAGGCTTGCTCATCTGTGAAACGCCAGCCCACCAGAAAATCCCCACAATGCAAACCCCCTGCCCTCCCTCACAGACCCAGGCAAATGCGGGCAGAGGAGCCAAGGTGCCAGAAAACTGCTCCCGGCTCTTCCACGGAGTCTGGGATCACAGAACAGCAAAGATCAGACAGGCCGCTTATCAGACAGGCATCCAAAGAATCTGCAGAACTTGCAGGGAAGATAAAATTGGATAAAAACAACCAGGACAACCTCATTTTTTTTCTCTTTTCCGGTACCAGGGCTTGAACTCAGGGCCTCACGCTCTTGCTTAGCTTTTGCGCTCTAGGCTGGTACCCTATCACTTGGCCTCACCTCCACTTCAGCTTTTTGTTGGTTAAACGGAGATGCATCTCATGGATTTGTCTGCCTGGGTACACTTCAAACTTAATCCTCAGATCTCAGTCTCCTCAGTAGCTAGGATTATAAGTATAAGCCACAAGTGCCTAGCTCTCCTGTTTATTTTCTAACCCAAACCTTAGCAGTGAATACGTGTCTGTTAAACCCTCTGAGGACAGCACATCCGATCTTCTGTGTGATTGATCGCCACCACAGGGCCCTTGCACCAGCAATCTGACTCTGCCAGGACAATGACAAGGTGTCTTTTCACACTATGCATTCTTTTACAAGATGTGAGTACCCACCTCTGCTAAACCCAGGAAAGGTCGCAACATCCATCAGGCCCCAAACAGAGGAATTTCTAACATACTACATTGCCTGAATACAAGGCACACTTTGTTCTGTAAAAGTCACTTGCTAGTCACCGACTACACGTCTCTTCTTACCAAGTGTCCATTGGAAACTAAGGAAGATAGCCAGGCCTCTTCCCCTCAGGAACGAGGAGGGGGGCGTCCTTGAGAGGTGAAGAGAAGTCAGAAGGTACAGGTCCACACAGGGCCCCACAGCCCAGACTACAGCCCGCACAGGGTCCCGCACAGGGTCCCGCACAGGGTCCCACGGCACAGACGACAGTTCAATGGGGTGCAGTGCTGACCTTCCGACTCCTGAACCGAAACTGCACTGCTATCTGACTTTCAGGAAGGAAGCGATAAGAGCTGGCATTCCTGAGGGTTCAGCGGCCCCTGGCTCCGGTCCTTCAGTCCTCCACAGGAGGTAACAGAAGCGTGCTGCGATGGCGCAGTCGGCAACAATTCTCCTGTCCTAGCTCCTGGCTGTATCATGCGAGGAAGGAGGCTGTGAAGCGGCCCGTGACTCCTTCTTTCATTGGAAAGTGGAAGTTTTAGGGTCCACAAAAGCGACTTAAAAATAGGTTGCCCGAAAAAAAATAGGTTGCCCGGGGGCCATTGGCTCCTGCCTGCCTCCTGGCCCCGGCGCTGGCAGCATTCCGGGTACCCAGCTCTCCCCACCACGAGGGCGACAAGAGCTGTGACCTGTGTGCCCCTTGAGAGCACCCCGCCAGCACAGCCAAGGAAGGGAGGGGCGGGGGGGCCAGGGCTGTGGTGAGGGAGACCCACACCCAAAGCCCATGCGGGCTCCGCACCCCACCGAGCCCCGCGGGAGCCGGGAGAAGGGAGAAGGGAAAGGAGAGGGGATGCGGGACAGGTGCTCCCAACCCCGTCGAGTGGCAGGGGGCGTCTCGAGCGTGACCATCCAGGCCGGGGCACTGGAACAGACAGACGGCGAGGGGCAGAGCCTCACTCGGTCATCCCAGACAGCTGGGCAGGGACTGGCCACCCACCCGTCCTGTCGAGTGTGAGGAGCAAACACTGGGGGGATGATTCGGGAGGTCGGCCCAGCCAGGCGCTGAGTCGGCAGGCCCACTCACAGCGCGGCGGTGCCGGATGCGCCTACAGACCCACAGCCAGTCTGCGGTGAGGACAGCCATCCCGAAGGACTTCACACAGATCTGCGCTGCCCACTGCATTTCTATAAATTTCCAAGTTGTGACACTGTAGTAAAACTCTGTAAGCTGGTTTCTAGTCTAGTTGAGAAAGTGGGGTTTAGAAGGATCTCTCGATTTTACCGGTGAGTGTGCTTCTATCTCTAGTCTACCCACAAGCCTCCAGCCCCTAGCCATGAGCCTCTAGAACAGTCATGAGCCTCCAGTCCAGCACAGCGCACCATACAGCGCACCTCTAGAAGTCTCTTCCAGTTGAAAATGGTGGCCTGGTGGCGTTCACCTTATGAATGTGTCGTGAGGGGAAGTACTCATTGCACCCATTCCTAACAGCAGAAGGAGAAGGGCCGACAGTAAGCAGCAGCCTGGAGCAGGAGGAGAAGGGTGCACCGAGGCACTGCTGTACAGGGAAGACAGGGCGCTCTGCTCACTCACTCCCCAACTCCTGTCTATGACCACCGGAACATCCCCGGCAATGAGGCTCAGGGTTTGGGTCTGAGCTCTCATCTGGAAAAGGTCCTCGGTAGTATTGTAGAGAGAAGGAAATTGAGGCGACAGATGCCGGCCCCAGCTGACTTCCGAGGGCTGCGAGCACGCACACCAGCTCGAGGCCCCGAAGTCGGCTCCAGGACCACAAGCCACAGAAGGCTAGCTACCCGGAGCTGACCTGCCATTACACCATGTCACAAGAGTCCAGTACAAGCTTCTTCAATTTATATCTGCCTCAAAAGACAGCAATTACCAAAGAGGCCATGCACTACTGCCTGAGTGTGACTCACACGAGCACCTAAACAAGGGTGAGCCACACACACGGTCACCTGAAATTCTGGACTGGCACCAAGTTTACACCTAACATGTCGCATGAATTTATTTCTGTTTAAGCCAGAACACCAGTCATCTTTTGCTCTTTTCTGCAGCTCCTTTCCTGGTACCACAGACAGCTGAGTCACGGCACTGGTGGCCTGAGGCCGGAAATGTTCTAGAAAGGGGGTTCCCCACCTAACACAATTAATAGCGACCTCTGGGGATCTCCTAGCCATTTGCATAGAGAACTTCTGTTTGGTTTGAAGACTGGACCCCTCGCTGTGTGTGGCAGACAGCGCCTCCTTTCTTCCTTCACAAGAGACTCGCCCGCTGTGACCTGGTTACATGGACACCTAGGTGAGGGCCATTTCCCAGCAGGCCTTGCAGCTGCATGTGACCATGTCCTGTGGGGGAGGGCTTTCCCGGCTCAGGAGGTGGGGATGGAGTGCCTGGCATCAGGTAAGTCAGGTAAGCCCTCCCCTGGCACGGGACGGTCTGTTAGACAATATGGAAGGAAGATGGGTTTCTGTGTCCCTCCACGGGCTCCACGGATAGCGGTGTGCAGGCAGCAGAGGGCTGACCTGCACACATACCAGCAGCACTTAACGCTCCCGAAGCAACCATTTCGGTACTCCTCGTGCTTCGCCATGAGCCAGTCCCCTGCCAGTTTGCTGCCTTTGCGGTGAGGGCCTCCGTGTCCCGAGGCCCCGACGTCCCGACCCTGCTCCCTGACCTCCTGCTGAAGGCTGGCGGTCTCGCGCCTGTGGCTAGACCTGGCCTTGTCGCCCAAGGAGTGTCGGGACAGTGACCAGTGACCAGCATCCCGGCTCTGGACACAGGAGTCACCAAGCTCTCTCACCAGTGTGCTCTGGCACTTGGGGAGATTCTAGGTAAGGGGGTGATGAGGTCAATCTGCACATCAGAAAGGATTCCCTGAGGGGGAACTCTGCAAGCGGAGCTCTGCCTGGTGGAGAGACCAGCGTTTCAGAACGGGGAAAGCAGAATAAAGGTAATGAAGGAGGAACTGGGAACATTCTAGAAGGTCACCATCAGGTTCCTTTGTAGCAACAAAATGTCGATGGTAAGGCAATGAACCTGAGCAGCCGGGGACTGCAGCAGGAAGACCACAGGAGAGAGCCCCAGGGTCCCAGCATCCCCTGCAGACCCCGGACAGCCTGGCCAGCCTCAAAGCCCAGGGAGGAAACCTGGAACCGCAGACTGTGCCCGGTGGCTGCAGGGCTGGGGGCAGGCGGACCAGCTCTGCGGGCGTGCGGCCCAGCCAGGGGAGTGGACTCCGGTCAGCCTGCAGATTGACAGTGCGTACAGTGAGGGCCCGTGTGTGTATGTCGGGGGGCAGCTCTGCTTTGACTTCCAAAAACACCAGGAACGAATTTAAAAAGCAAATGACTCATGCATAAAAATAAAAGGCCTGAAGGAAAAAAAATGAGTCAAGTGAAGGGGTGTGTATGCCTGCGTCATCCTGGCCTCCCGCTCTGCTGCCTCCCTCCCTCCTCCCACCTCCCTCCTGCCCGCAGCTTCTCTTCCTCTTCCTCTTTTCTCTAAGAACAACAATGCACTGAGGCCTGCTCCGGTCTACACAACCATCTCTGCTCAGGTCAGAAGCATTCTGGTAATAACAGTAAACAGTAAACAGCTGCCTGTCTCACCAAACAGCAGCCCCAACACACACACACACACTCACACACACACGGGCATGCACACACGTGATACGGAGAGACATCTTGCAGGGCTGCATGGGAGCAGGCTCGCTTCCTCCGGCCGTGGAGGCAGCTGACCACCACCCTGAGCTGACCCCTCTCCTGCCACAAGATGTCTGAGGTCAACAAGTGCGGGGTGGGCCGGGCCCCGCCCCACTTAGGGCTGCAGGAGAGCTCTGGGGGTGAGAGGAGAGGAGGTGGGGGGCGGGGCTCCCACCCCGTTTCATCCCATCCCTCATCTCTCGGGGTCTCCCCCAGGTCCTCTCGTGGCCAGCCACCCAGGTCTCCCCCAGGTCCTCTCGTGGCCATCCACCCGGGGGGTTTTCCCTGCCACCCCCG